TATATAAAACGTATGTACGTCTGTAAACTCAATGCACTGTATGGTATCCACTTGCGTACGAACCGACGACCGTAGATGAAGAAGTGTTTGACATACACACTTGTATGAGAATCGGGAATCAAGAATTTCTTTTCCAAATACCATTGCAAATTGTTAACTCAGTCAAAGCCACTCGTAATTATCCACTTACCCAAGAAAAGAAGGCCATAGAACAGGAATTGCACGACAATAATTCCATAAGAAAATCGGGTCGCGGGACTGCGTAGCAAATTCGTGAAGTCTCTCCGAATCAACACAGACGTTTGCTGGAACACCGACTGGGCAAATCTCGTCTGTTTGATTATGGAATCGAGCGACAGAGTGAAAAATATTAGGACTGAAATGAAATTAGGAATTATATGATAATTAGGACTGGAATGCAAGACAGGCAATATATCTAGTAAATACGATATGTTTTGGTTTAGTACAGGATATGTCTGAGGGAAAAGTTCGGCTGGAGTGAGCGTGTCCGATAGTGTGAAGATATATACAAACATAAACATTTACACGTACACGCACACGCACACAGATACATCTTAGTCCCATGTGTAAATACTTACCCTCTCATGTGCAAATACCTACCCCCCATGTGCAAATACCTAACCCCCATGTGCAAATATTTACTCCCCATGTGCAAATACCTACCTCCCATGTGCATATACATACCGAGAGCTCCTTACTGTCGCCTGTGGTGTCGTCAGAGTCCGCAATTTTCTGCAGGTCACTGTCCAGGCCAGCGTGCACCCCGTCAATCGCCTGCATCAGCACTGTGCGCTCCTTCGACTCCACAAAGTTCGGTACCAAATCCCCCGCATTGATAGCTGACTGGAAAGACGATAGATCAAGTTGTGTCAGAAATGAGTGGTGCTTGTTGCCATGACAACAACACCGTGGTGCGTTCTTTCATCGTGTGGTAGTACAGGATATGTATGAAGAGTACAAGTTATATCTGAAGCTAGTGGCTTTCGTTGCCATGACAACAATATTGGTGCGTATTTTCGACTTCACAAAGTTCGATACCAAACGCCCCGCATCGATAGTTGATTGGAAGGTGATAGCACAAGTTATATCTGAAGTTAGCAGTTCTCGTTACCTTGACAACAACACAGCTATGGTTTTATTAGACAAAATTCGACATCAAAACAGCTCACGTGAATACATGGTAATTTACCTTCAATAAAGATACATATACATATATATATATATATTATACACCCTTTTCCTTTAGGTTTTAGGATAATAGTATCCTTGCGTATGCGCTCTCTACCACTCTACGTAGACATATCTACGTGATCGTACAGTCTTCCCCCAATGCATCCCATCGTACACATCGATCTCACCTATCACCTCCCACCGCAAACACTCATACCACACCGTGTGAACTCACACATTGTCGTCACGTCAGCAAATATATCAAAACTCTAAAACCCAATAAAATATTCTCAAACGAACCTTTGTTCTCTTATGTCCCCGGCGTTGACCTTCCGCATGTTGTGTACCGTGACCTTCTGGATCTGTTGCTGGTGATGGGGTGCTGTTAGGGGCTGTACTGGACATTGTGATAGTACGGGACAGTCTTGACGCCAGCTGATGAGGAAAGGCATACGCACAAGAGTTGGTAAGCATAATATGTGCGATTGGCAAATAGATATCTTTATACAGAATAT